ATTGTGTGATATGGTCTCAAAAACTTTTTGCTCAAATTGAAACATTCCCAAACCATAAAATTTGCAGCATCACAGATCACAAACTGATAGACAAAATGAAGAATAATCATTCTTAGAAATGTAACCAATTGGCACTCACTCTTCAATACCATCCATAGCAATTTATATTTAAAACATAAGAGTGGAATTTACAAGTGCATAAATGTATCAATTGTACAGAATTTTGTTTTTTTTTTCATGATTATGCACAAGGGCACAAGAGCCATTCCCTATGTTATTTGCATAAAAATTAGTAAAAATATTTTATTTATGATTGAGATTGCCTTGTTGGTGACACTGTTAGTCATATTGCTACAGTTTTCCTATTCATTACACAGCTGTTTGACATTAGTATCCCACTTGAAATATTGAAAGTATTTCAGAGTATCAAGTGCCATAACAATTAATTGTAATCTCTAGAGTTCATTCCTTTGTTGGAAACCTTTAATTGACTTTTCTGTCTGGTTAGTTTATGCCATATGACTGCAATTCTCTGTTTGGTCTTCAACAAAAAATAACGAAGTTCACAAGGCAAAGACTTCTAACATATCAAGGGTCAAAACAGATGGTTCACAATGATAACAATAATAAATACCTTGATGCTACACTATGTATAGCTCTTATGTTTTCCGATCTATAGTTGGAGGCATTAACACATACATGTTTTGTCTTGTGAATTAAGATGCGCTACACTAAATAGGAGGCATAGTGGAGTAATGGATAGTGGCACAGATTGAGGAATTGGAGAGCTGAGTTCAAAGTCCAGTTGAGTTCATTACATTCACTTATATGCTAATACTCTTTGGAAAGGTATGAATCCATCTCTTCTCTTCCTACATATGTGTAAATAGCAGGACATTCTGGGTTCTATATAGCCTTAGGTGGCAACCAGTTTAGGAGAAGGAAAACTCTAAACTCTGTCAGATTATCTTGCCCAAGTCCACTTCTACTGCAGTTGCAGTACATGTGATGTCCCTACAACTCTAATGAATTACAGCACACATGATCATGAACGTGACAGAAAATATCCTATTCAAAACCTTATATTTGCTTATAGGTCCATAACTAGTTGAACATGTTCACAAGTTGCTGATGCACTGGGAATCTCTGTTCATGAGTGCTAGGTGTCAAGAAAGATTTTTTAAGTTTGAAAGGTAAGGCAGCCAAGGTGACTTGTTAGTCACATCTGGATACTTGAAAAAACAATCAGAGACTGTCTGAGTGAATTGGGTTACTCTACTTGAAGATATTACTCCACTTACAAGGTTATGGATTACTTTTATCAAAACTTGTTACCATATCACATACATTTGGCTGTGATGTATCTGCCTTGTATACTCTTATCAGACTGGGTGTCATGAAGGGTTTGATGGCTGCCAATTGAACATGACCATCAAAAGATATCAATATGCTATGAAGCAATACCTGGGTATAAAAGTTTTAAGGTGGAGGATGCACTAGGTCAATTGCACTCTCTAAGCAAGAACAGCATGTACCCAAAAAGAAGAGCCAGTCAACATCATTGGAGGCTGTCAGGCCACAAGTGTTACATCAGTTTTCCTTCTCCTGGTTGGATACATTAACAAAGGCTCAGAGACCCAACACTCTCAGTCGGATTACTGCAGACCTGGACGCCAACCCAGGTATTTCTACTTCTCTGCACGTGTACTACATAACTGTTGATCCCATTTGACAGATCTTATTTTTAATCTTGCTAGGTGTCTAGCCACTTTCTTTATTAGAAAAGAGCTTGGTTTGGCAAAATGGTTTAGTTGCTGACCTGGCCATGTGGCAGGCAGTAATAGGCTATGTAGTACCAGTATCACTTATAGAGAGTCCTGAATATAATGGTGAGTATACAAGTCTTCATATATTCATGCTCTAGCATTGGTGTGCTGCCCACTCACTGAATAATAATAATAATGAACAGATTTATTGTTAATTGGTTCTTACTGATTGCTATCTGATTTTTCTTGAAGAAGAAAAGTATATGCTAGGTAGAAAACTTTACTGTTCCATTAGGCTGCAGCGAGTAAATCAGAAGGAAAAAGGGAACATGAATCAAGGATACTATCATTTTTTTTATGGATAATTGAATCTCATCTAAGTGTTATTGACATTATTCACACTTACACAATACCAAAATGAGTGACCCTCTATTCCATACTCCTGAAGAAGACATTAGAATGGAATGGTCGAATTGTCATGTGGTTACCAATAACATTAATAACACAAGGAAGAGATTCAATTGTCTTAAAGAAATTACAGTATGATAACGACTGTTTTCAAGCTTATCAATAATATAAAAATGATAGTTGTGCATGTTGTTAATGGAGTAATAGGTATGATCCTGAAGATCCAAGGGAAAAAGCTGCAAGAATAGGAAATCAGGGGAAGAGGCGTGACCATCCAAATGATAGTGCTGCTGATAACAGCTAGGAGTATTGGGGAGACTTGCTGTCACTTAATCTCCACTGCAAGGCACCAGTTAATACTTGTGTGAGTAGTCAATGAGTGAAATAATAATAATAATAATAATGGAACTGAAGAAATTGGGCAATATGAAGGTCAGAATCATATCCATAAAAAATGCCTGACTATGAACCATTCCAACATGGATAAAGATAAGACTAGAAGAGAATTGAAGGTTTAAGAAAAGGTTATGAGTATTTGTGCTGGGATTGGCAAGAATACTAAGAAAGGTGCTGGCTATCTGAGGGGATTTGCTGTCATCTGTCATATCCACCCTATTATGTAAACATATAATAATAATAATAATAATAATGTAACTTTACTATGCCAAATGTTTTTTTTTTGTGTTTTGTTTTGACTAATGTCTAATTTTGGCACTTGGGATTTATCTTCCTTACATTAGCCATTTATTTATAAATTTAATGATTCATAGTAATGACTTAACAACATACACTGAGATTCAAGTCAAATGTTGTATGTGATACATACTTAAGCAATCATGTCTCTTTTGAATCAACTGACTAGGCAGAAGAACCTATTTGCTTCTGTTGAATAATAAAAAGTTCTTTATAAACTCTTCCTTCACTGATCCTCAAATCAATCCTTTGTTCAAACAGCCTCTTGTTTTATTGACCATAAGAATATGTGAGAAGACATTTAATTAGGAATAATTCATTATTATTTTAGGTAATCATTCAAAGCCCTAAAGAAAATCATTTAATTCCAATGTCATTTGTCTTTGTACTGTATATATAGAGCAAACCCCACCCAATTTTTTTAAGGTCAAGTTAAAATTGCAATTTCATTTTTTTCTTTTGATTTTTATTGTTTATTTTTTTATTTTTTTTACTTATTTTTTTTTCTGTTTTATTATCAAATTTTCTGGTTGAATTTATATCAGTTAATAAAATGTAGTTGATCTGATGAGGCAGGTATATATATGAATAACTGTTGAAATATATTTATAACCGATTATATGATGAATAATTGTCTTTTCCTCATTATTTATATATATATATATATATATATAATAGCTGGCCACTCATATTTGAAGATACCCTGCTATTAGGACGGCTAGCCAATCCCTATTGCAGGGGTTCGCTCAGGCACATTTGTGCTTGTTCAACACCCACAGAGCCAACCTGTGGTTTATACTGCAACTATGCTGAGCAGACATTAGTTACAGTTTCTGGGAGAGAGTGTGTTATCTAGCATGATCAACAATCTGAACAAGGTCAGCACACTCAAACTCTCAGTCATGATGACTTCTGACTTTGTGCTAGCACAGCTATCAATGCCCCCCACCAAGGGTTCTGTCTACTGAATTTCACTCATAAGGCTTGGGTCAACCTATGGTATGGTTTTCAGGCACTTTCCAAATGTGCTGCAGGGTGGGATTGCCCCCTCCAAACCGATAACATCAGTAAGTCTACTTCCTGACAAATCAACCATGGTGAGATTTGAACCCGGGTCTCATGGTCAAGAAAGCAAACATTCTAACCACCCAACCACGCACCCATATATGCCCATGTGTACATGAATGTTTATGTCTGTATATTCATGTGTATGCATATGAAATGAAATGTGATAAATATAGCAGAGTATGAGTCTCCAATGCAAGCCTAGTTAGCCACAAGAAGAGTCATATTGGTGGTAGACTTTTCACAAATTATGATTAGTACATTTTTTTTTAAATCATTTCACCACCAAGCAAGGTCATATTGCCACTAAGTCGCAAAGTGTTACTGGGAGCAAAAGGGAATGAAAAGACTTTAGTAAGGAGAAAGGACAATAAAAGAACAGGGTTCAGGAAGATAGAAGATTGTTATTGACATTGCATGTTAGAAATAACTTAACATGCAGGGTGTTTCAGAAAAGCTACAGAAACTGCTCCAGTCTCACCCACAAGCAAGCAGAACAGACATTACAAAACAGGCCAGGCTCTGTACAAAACTACCTGTTTCTCCAAACTGCAATAAACATTGCAAGTTACATGCAGCCTTCAAGAACCAAAATTATTGATCAAACTTGTCAGTGATGGTCATACTCATTTAACGAGCTGATGGCTATCATATGCATATGAAATATAATCACACAAAAAGATTATTGTTATTCATAGTAATGACTTAACAACATACACTGAGATTCAAGTCAAATGTTGTATGTGATACATACTTAAGCAATCATGTCTCTTTTGAATCGACTGACTAGGCAGAAGAACCTATTTGCTATATCTATATTGTTTTTACAGCTTATCAGCCTTTTGCAGGTTATTTAAAGCCAGAAAATTTTTACTTTGTGAGAATTTTGGGGAGATAATGATGTTTTACTGATACAAGTCTGACTAATTAATCCATAGCTGAGGGGAGAAGAGATGGATTTATACCTTTCCCAAGGATATCTGCACATAAGTGAATATAACAAACCCAACTGGAATTATAACTTGGTTATTCTGAGCCATTATTCACTACACTACCTGCACATCCAAGCTTACACCACCTGGTATTCCCATGTGGTTACCCATCTAGTTACTGACCAGGCTCAATTTTGCTTAACTTTGGTGATCATATGAGAACCTATGTTTCAATGTGATATAGTTGTAAGCCTATATACAGAAATGTGACATAATTGTTAAAGAATTGATATCATAGAGAAGGATCTTGTGCAAAGATATGAAAACTAGAAGAACCACTACACTTTAGAAGATTTATATTAGTGACTATAAAATTAAAAAATACAACAGTCTATAAGTCAAATCAGCTTTGTAAGGATCATTCTGTAGGTTTCTCTACCAACAAAAGAGGCAAAACAAGTAATGTCACAAAAAAAAAAAAAATCCACTGTGAAAAGAACTGTCTCAGGTACTTGCTTTCTCTTAAAATATTTTGTAGGTTAGATTAAGATGTAAACTGTGCTTTAATAATTTTAATACCTTTAATCACAAGATTACCACAAAATGTTTACAAATTTTGGTGCATTTCAAGTCCATGAATGCCCAAATATGGTCAAAATATGATATGACTCTATTTTGAAACAGCATAAATAATGATCAACAGCCAAAGAAACATATATACAAAATGATACAAAATGATTGGGTAATCTGAACCAGGTCATTACTTATAGTTTATAATGCCTCATTAGAAATCTTATTGTAATTTGAACCTGAACACATATATAGTGTATAATGCCTCATTAGGAAGATTATTATAATTTAAACCTGATCATAGTTTATAAGGCCTCATTAGAAATCTTATTAGAATTTGAACCTGATCATAGATAGTGTATAATGCCTCATTAGAAATCTAATTATAAACTGAACCTGGTCATGATATATAACTTAGAATGCCCCATTAAATAGATTATTATAATTTGAATTTGAATCTTATCATAGATAACTTGTAATGCCTTATTAGGAAGATTATCATTATTTGAGCCTGATCATAGATAGCTTATATTGCCTCATTAGAAAGGTTATTATCATTTGAACCTGGTCATGATATAGAGCTTAGAATGCTTCATTAAAAAGATTTATAATTTGAGCCTGATAGCTTATAATACCTCATTAGAAATGTTATTATCATTTGAACCTGGTCATGATATAGAGCTTAGAATGCTTCATTAAAAAGATTATTATAATTTGGGCCTGATCATAGATAGCCTATAATACCTCATTAGAAATCATATTTGTAATTTGAACCTGGTCATTACTTATAGTTAATCATGTCTCACTAGAAATCTTATTGCAATTTGTCCATGCTTAAACCACTGATCAGACATAAAAAAAATTAGGATTTAAATTTAATTTTAATACTGGTATCCAGTAGTTGTAATTCTTAAGTTTTTGAGATATTTGTCTTTTATTGTGTGTGCATCATTTTATCAATTTTGAACAAATGAATCAATATTCCAGACTTTAAACAATTTATGTCTCTTTAGAGATTTTAAATGTGACTGTATATCAACATATTACAGCTATAAGCTTTTAAGATAACTTTAGTTGTGCTGGGAATTTCAAAAAGAGCCTGGCCAATTTTTAGTATTATATAAAAATTAAAAAAAAATGACAGCAAAGAGCTTGTTCTGAAGCTCCCATATATACATGAAGAGTAGTTGAAATAAATTTAACTATTTAAAATATTTGAAAACAACAGCAATAAAATCCCTGTTGATTTTAAATATCTTTTAATTATAAAACAACAAAAAACATCTTTGATTATAAGCAAAAATATCTTTTTATTATAAACAAAAAATATCTTTGATTATAAAGCAAAAACAATAGAAAGCTTAATGAAGTTGACCAGATAATGTATCTAGATATATCAGGTGCAGTGGCATTGGGTGAGTTTTGAGCGCATTTAAAATATTCCGCCTCCTCCTTAGTCGTGAGCTATTATAAATTCTAGTTTCATAAATATTTTCTCAACCTAATTAATTTTTTTGCACCTGAGGCAATCACCTCTCTGGCGTAGTCCATGCTATGCAACTGACCAGATGTCTAAAATTTAAATTTAAAGTTAAATCACAATGTAGAATTTTAACTGTTGTTTTTTTATATTTTCTTCACTTCCTTTACATATGATTCTATTGTTACAAACATTATTAATCTGTAGAATCCCTTTTTGAAGGATGAAACATGGAACATAAGATTTATTTTTCATTTTGTCATTCATTTATCAACTAATAATCAAAGAATCAGAAGATGCAGTCATTGCCAAAATACTGATGATATAATTTCTTATAAGAAGCCAATCTTTTGAATACTTTTCAGAAACTCTCAAAGAACAAGGACAGTAGAAACTTTTAGGAAGTTCTTTGACATTTCAACATCTCCACAAAAGATTTAACAAATAATGGTACACAGAATTCACAAGTGACAACATGGTACCAGGAAGTAGGAAGGAACTTATTGAAACATCTAACTTCCAAAAGAGCCTTATAAGGACATGTGGTGAGAATTTCCAAGAAGTTCTTTTATTGTATAAACAATCATCACCATCAGTCCCATAAACAATCATCATCATCAATCCCCTGACCAAGTGGGGTTGTAATGTCACTGCACAGCTGAACACCTGACCAGCTCCCTCTACATGTCTTGGTGGTTATTCATTCATATCTTGGATAAAGCAGACCTAGCGGAGCATTGTATAAACAGGTTCCATTAAATATTTCTGTATTGTATCATATTATAAAGGTCATAAAATGACAATATGAGTAGTTGTGATGAACAATAACTGAAATTAAGATGAAAAAATGCTATTAAAAAATAAATAATGCTTCATCTTGTAATAATAGAATACATGATAATTTTATATTGAATTGATCCAAGTTCTTGGTTTCTTTTAAAATGACAATCAGAATAAAATATTAGGACATCTGAAGAGGTTTTGCTTTATTATGAGAGCATATGACTATTCTTTAATTATATAATCAGTATTGTATAATCATTGTTGCCTTTGTTGCTAAATGAGCCACTAGTTCAACTCTATTTGTTATCTGAACTCACTGTTAAGAATTACTAATTAGAGAACTGAAGATATGCATTACATAGTAATACATAGTATGACAATGTCATACCTCATGTTAAATTGAAAAAAGTTTTTTTTTTTGGGGGGTACAAAAGTATAACAAGAAAAAATAATTGGGTGGGTACAAAAATTTAATTATTACCATAAAAACAGACACATTCAATGAAATGAGAGGAAATCATGAAAAGAAAGAAAGAAAGAAATAAAGGGTATCATCACCACAGATAGCAACTTAAAATATGAAAAAGGGGAGAAAGAGAAAACAAAAAAAAAAGATGAAAAGAGAAGAGAGAGAGAGAGAGAACAAAACAAAAAAGATGAAAAGAGAGAGAGAGAGAGAGAGAGAGAAACAAACAAAAAAGATGAAAAGAGAAGAGAGAGAGAGAGAGAGAGAAACAAAACAAAAAAGATGAAAAAGAAGAGAGAGAGAGAGAGAGAGAAACAAAACAAAAAGATGAAAAAAGAGAGAGAGAGAGAGAGAGAGAAACAAAACAAAAAAGATGAAAAGAGAAGAGAGAGAGAGAGAGAGAAACAAAACAAAAAAGATGAAAAGAGAAGAGAGAGAGAGAGAGAGAGAGAGAAACAAAACAAAAAAGATGAAAAGAGAAGAGAGAGAGAGAGAGAGAGAGAGAGAAAACAAAAGGAAAGGGAAGAAAAAGAGAGAAAAAAAAAAACTGTGTTGATTATACCCTTTCTGTCTTTCTTTTGATTATTTCCTCCGATTTTATTGTATATGTCTGCTTTTATAGCAATAATAACGAAAAAAAAAACATTTTTGAAACAAGAAAGCACTTAAAAAAGTATTATTAAAATTCCCTACAATGTAAAGGATATGTCTCATGAATGGCTGTCAAACTATCAATAACAGAGATTTAACAGGAAAAGTATTTAAAGAGATATTTAAAAACCCCAGTTAGAACTTAGTATATAAAAATAGCTGCAAAGTACTATTATTACTTTGTATTCAAAGTAATCATAAAATATGCAATACTTTTTAATTATCATTTAAAAGAATTATCTGCAACAACTAATCTTTATATGTCAAATGTTACTTAAAATTATATTTCTAAAATTATACAGATGGATTCAAGTGAATATGTAAAGATATAATACGTTATTTTAGTGGGTACATGTGATTGAGTCAACATCCCTGTTTTTTTTAAAGTGAAGTTAATATTTACTGGCATAGACCATCAAAGGTCTTAATAAAGAGAATATACCTCTTAGCAGGGTTCAAACCTGTATTCCTTGTATCTGGGAAAACATTTTTTATCCAGGCATGCCTTTACCATTCTGCCATGAAGGCATGGCTCAGTTATACTTATAAATGTACATGGGACTTTTCAGCATCTATATGTGATAACTTATATTTTGTGCCTGAAATGTAAACAAAATAATTTAAGAAAGTAATAGATTTTTAAAAACAATCTGACAATATTTCTTAATGAAAACGATTATACTAATATATGAAGTATTTATAGTAATAAGAAATAATGCTAGATTTAAAAAAAATACATTAATTACTTAAATCACAATATATATATATATATATATATATATATATATGGTGGACTCTCCTATCATGAATGATAAATGAGGGTCAGCATTGGATGGTGCCTTTCATTTTACACTTATGCATGCTAGCAGGGGCTGTTGTGGAGAAAATCAGGTAAGGAAAAGATATATTTCATTTGTGCTTTCTTAAGTGTGATACTAGCCCAGCCTTGCTGCAGGCAACAAAGCCACACTGACATATGAAATTTGTTAAAGCAGGATTTTGATGGTGTCTCTGCTTCAGAGTTTGACAAAGCTGATCACGGTGCTTCAGTCTACTGTTTTCAAAACCCTTTAAATTAATGAAACATGTCTTATACCTGTCCTTTTGGTTTGATGTTTGGGCTTCCCAGGTTTTCAGATCAAAGTCAAGACATTTTAAGTTGTCTTTCAATTTGTCTTTGTAGTGTAAGAGTGGACATCCAACTGAATGCTTGGAGTTTGGTAGTTGTCCATACAGCACCTCTTTTGGAAGCCTATGCTCATCCATTCTCACAACATGACCAGCCCACCTAAGT